CCAAACAACACTTGCAAGCTCAGAATTTGTCTAACTAGAGCTTTCAGAAATGGGGAAGAAACTGAATCAAAACTAATCAACTGACTTTCACAGCACCCATTTAAGACAACACCTGACGTCCGGGAGATCAAGTACAAGCATGCTGAATGGGAACATAAAGAAAGTTTACTAAGGTTTTTGCAGTTTAAGGAAAGAAAAAAAAAATATCAAGTATTCTTTTGGGATAAAGATGATTTTGAAAGGAAATTGTAAGGTAAGTTCCAAAACCAAATCATGTCAAAGCCCCCTGAGAATTAAAAAGACATGTGATGTAGAATATTCACAAGGGCCCGAGGACACGTTGCTCTATTAAAGTCTTATTTTTATACTGAATAAAACATAATTTACATTATACAATTCAACTTTCAGACCTGAATTCAACAGCTACTTGAAAGGTACCCTATGCACTAAGATGTCCTATCAGAGTAGAAAAGATTTGTGCATTAAAAACTATCAAAGTCTTCCTAGCACAAACTAGTCAGGCAGACATTACTGTCACTTCATCTTGTGCTTTGTGCCGTTTCAGACTATATCTAACCACACCTCTGAAACTCAAGTTGACCAAAGTTACTAAAATGTGTCTGTGGCATGGACACCTGCCCAGCTCGCACCACACCCAGGGTGTCAGGTTAAGGACAGCAGCTAAACTGGAATTTATCCCAGTTTTGGAATTTATCACAATTTCCTGAAAATTCTCCTGGCAAAGGGCAGACAGCTGCATTAACAGGCTCTGCTCTCTGCAGCAGTTTCAGAGAAGGATCCAGGACAGAGACAGATGGGGAATGGCCCCAAATCTCCCTCCTGCCTTGAGCAGTGTGAGGCAGGTTCTCCCCAAGAACTTCTTTACTCTAAATACTCTGTTTCCAGCCCCAAATTCAGCTGCTAGGTATCTCTCATAGTTTCCTGTTGAAGAATTTTGGTAGTGTAAAACACTTTCCTTCTGCCATGTTCTACCCCAAAACGGATGATAACACTTGCTCCACTTCTATATGTCCTTAAAAAAATTTCACACAAGCGTGCCGCATATGAAAATTACTTCAGTGCTGATTAAGTTAAATAATGTTTGAAGCAAAAACTATTTTAAAATTTTTCATTGGGCAAACATCAAAATATTTCAGATACAGAATGTGCTGCTGGACTCACATAAGAGATTAAGAGATCTGGACCATCAACTTAGCTCACAAAAATTGCCATTTGAAAGCAAACAATTTTTCTAATTTCATATTAAACAATGAGCTGGCCTCTACAAGAGTCCGTTAGCAGCAGTCCACGTGGAAGGTGTTTAGAAACACCTCTTCCATTTACTATTTAATTTCTTCTTTCCTTATTTTACCCCACCCTTCTTCACAAAACACAGCAGTTAAAGAGAAATTAGCTCAGATAATAAACAACATAGGACAGAACCCACAATCGTCCTTCTTGTGTAACAAGAAAGGCCACAGGCTCCATACCTGCACTGGGGCATCTGCTTAATGAGAGAACACGTGAAAAATACAGAAGACCCATACAACTAGTCTACGAACAAAGCTTTCTGTCACCTTCCTTCAGTCCCCAAAGTAGACTCTTATTTGTGAAATATCAACCATGACACTGACACACTAACTCAGAGAAAGGTATTTTAACCACTTTAAAGCAAAGGTAGATGAAAAAATAAGACCTCCAGAGTACTCAGTCAAATAGTTAGCTTAATCCGTTCTTTAAACAGTTTAAAGAAAGCACACAGTTGGCACTTGCACAGTTCCAGGTTAACTCAAATACCTGGCAAAATATTAGCATTAACTATGCTTGAAGATTGGATTACAATCAACTACAGCTACCTGAAGAGTACTTTGCAATTTAAACAAGTGTAGAAGCCTTTGCAGAAGTCCTGGTTAGCACAAGTTCACCACATTTCTCAGCTGCTAACATGCCTCAGATCCACCATTTATTCAGTCCTAATCAGTTCAGCATAGCTCTCAAACATCATTCACACTAAGTCACCTTGAATGCTTACAGAGTAAGAGATAGACAACTTCCTTGCTTGATTCAAGATTCCTGTAAATGTTAAAATAACTTTAGGTAGTGAACACAAACAGATTCATTCCATTATGTCCTCTCTAGCACTTCCTCTCTAAACATTTAAGGGGTTAAGCTTTAAGTAAGAAATGCTTTAAGTAAGACATAATTAAACAATAAACCCTACCCTGAAATATTCAAATTTAGATTCAAGGTTAAGTGAATTTAATCAGTCCCAATTCCAAGTAGGTTCAATCCTAATCCACACTACTCTGATTTAATACTACATTATTTCTTACCATTTAGAACTCAAACCAATACGCTAACACGCTCATTACAACTTTGCTCAACTCTTCAATTACATCTTTCTGCAAAAGGCTGTAAGAATTAACCATTACATGGTTACAAGTCACTTCATTAGCCCTAAATTAATAACACCTGGTTTCCAATAGATTTATGACTTGCAATTGATTAGCTCTGATTGAAGCTCTTCCCGTGCTTGGAAGAGGTTTGCTGAGAGGCTTCTCTCCTAGAAAAGACAGGAACTCAGCAGCAATTTTTCTTTTGGTTAGGGCACTAGCTTCTTTAGGTCTCTCCCTTGCAAGAATTTCATTAGCTTTAATCTTTCTACCTCTGCTACATTCAATTAAAATAAATCATCCAGCTCAAAGTTAAAAGGGGAAAGCAGACTACAAGTATCTAATTCTAATCCCAGAGTTTTTTTGAAACAAAGCAACCAGAAAAATCAGTTGACTATTTTCATTTGATTAGGCAATCCTAAAAAGAAGAGCAAATTCATTTTATTGGATATCCGATTCTTTCTACAATGAGGAATAGGATGAATGAACTATAGTCTGGAATACTTCTTTGATCTTTTTCAAATGGCTTGTCAGTGAAGTTGTCTAAGCATTACTGTACTGCTATAAGTCAACATTTACACATAAACAAGTGAATTATAATGGCACAAAGGCATTTTGACACGTAGCAGAGCAAAAAAGGTAGTTCTGCAAGATAAAAGGTTCAAGTTAGAAAGTAAATTTGACTTCAGCTCAAGAGCTAACATACTATATTTAATAAAACAAACATGAGATATGTACACAGTGACACTTAATTCCTAATCCTAATATGACTGATAACCTATGCAAAATTTATAAAGTACTTTAAAAAGGAAGTTCTTATTATACCCATTTTATAACTCAGTGAATCATGGAAAGATTAAGTAACTTTCTCAGGGTCATATAGCAGGTTACTGGTTGAAATAGAAAAAACACACCAAAACACTCAGAGCAACCAAATCACAGTACTGGATGCTCTTAGTTAAGATAGCCCTCCTCCTCTTTATGAAAAAAGAATTACATTGATTCTTTGCTAGTGCATTGCTTACATAAAAAGGCAGCAAGTAGTCAAGTATTTTCCTTCAGGCAAAAGGAGCAAGAGTCCTACCAAAAATGTTCAGTGTATTTTATTCCATTTTAAGAACTGTTGCATACAAATTAGCTACATTTGCAGTACTTCCCAGCTTGCAAAACCAGAAGTGAACAGAATTAAAATCTAATTTCACAATCAAAAAAAATTAATTTCCAATTTTTCCACATTGATGTAAACGCACCTCAAAGATGTCAATTACAATGCCTTTACAGATATTCCTTGTCCTCCAATCTCTTTTCCATCCCAAATTGTGTTTATTGGCAAAGCAACTTAGTGTCAAAGGAAAAGAAATGCAAGATACTTGTTTTCATAAAAAACAGTAAGAATTACTTTTAAAATGTTAATAAGGTCTCCACATAATACTAAAGGCTGTTGAAGAAAACTATTTCCTTTGAAAATTACACTATTTTTAAATAGGACAATATCTCTGGTTAAAGTGTTGATGATGAAATTATATAACACGAATTTACTCAATGAAACTGCAGTTTTACTGCCTAATGTTTTTATACTTCACAGAAGAAACACGGCAATTTAAAACCTCAAGTTACCATACAAAATACATACACCACAATTCCTCAGCTAGATATCCTGTACAAAAAATACTCTGTGTCAAAAATAACCAGGTATGCACGTGGCAATCAAAAGGCACAGCAGGTTTCAAAATCTGTTTCTTTCAAGTACATCTGATCTCTATGCACGTAATTTACTGTGTGATACTACACAGATGTTCACAAACATCTACTTTCCTCCTTCAGCACTGCACACATTAACAGAGGATAATTTTTATGTGTTTTATATATTTGGGAAACATCATATATGGAGTCTTTATTTGAAAATATTTAAAGGCAATATTGCACAAACTATTTTTTCTTTTGCTTATTTTGATACTCTGCAAATCACTTGAACTAAAAATTTAGGACAACAAAACTGAAATGATGAGAAAAGGTCTAGAAGCATGCACTCTCTCCATTCACAGAATTAAAAAAAAAAATCAAGTGAAATTAGCCTAGTGAAGCAGCTAAGTGCCTTGTTTGTTTTAGGAGTTAGAAACATAAGAGAAAGCAAGGTCATGCAATGCCACTCCTATTTTTTATATAAAAAACATGAAGGCATTTAAATGCCTGAAGTAATAATAAAAATGATTGCTGATTTTTAAAATAAATACATATTACTGCTTTTTAAGCTTAGGGATTATTTCAAATAGCCTTTTATTATATCAAATAAAATAAGGATTCTATTTATACAGAAAGAGTCAAGTAATAAAATGAAGCCCATATTCCTTAAGATAAGATGCATTCATGCCTCTCCCACTGGAGAGGCTGGTTCAACAATTTTACAGTTAAACAGAATTAATTCTACTCTCAAAAATCCATTGACCTTAAGCTTTTAACAAACATTTTCAACTGCAGAGTGTATTGTCAATATTTACAAATCCTTAAAATTATATTTCACTAGAACAGCTTTTATTTGCTATATTAATATTTCCTTGCAAATGTATGCTTATCCATATCAGAGAAGAAGAAACAGCTGCTACTCACAGGAAATCTCTGGGGTCCTACAGCAGGTCTAGGCTGGGCTGGAACTGGCAGCAAGGGCACTGAAACAAGAAGCACCTTTTAACACCATTTGATTTACCTAACAGTTGTTGCTGTTATTTCCAAAATCAGTTGCAATAAGCTGCCATGATTAAAATCCACTACATTTACCCTCACATGTCACAGTTCTTACAATTAACTTTAAGCAACCATTCCCTCCCCTGCAACATGCAACAGGGCAATTAGGATTCTCCTAGTTAATTTACATAATTTAATTCTGCGTTTTCCAGAATTAAATTGCTCCTTGTTGCAGGAAGGAAAGCTGGAATACTTATTCAGCCAAAGATGTCTCTTAGACAAAGCTGACAGAGACTCTAACAATAATTTCATGTTTCAAATAGAAGGATGCATGATTAATTTGCCTTCTCAACTTCAGGCCCCTCAAGATTTCCTAGGTATCTCCCAGTCTCACCACCAACCTCCCACAACAAGCATGGGCATGAGAGGAAATACCTGGCACAAATCACTGTTCACAGGAGGGTAAAATGAGGCAGGCAGTGACAATTAACAGCAAGCAAAAACTACTTAATCTGGCCTTGCCACCATAATGGTATATGCAATATGGTTTGTCTAATCAGAGAACTGCTGATCTCAGATGAAAGACTGCTAATTTGTAAAGAGATATCAAGAAGAATTAGGAGACCCTCCTCCTCAAAAATAACCTCTAAAATTAGTATTTCAGGGGGATTAACACGGATGACTTGTCCATACAACTGCATTTCAAAAGACTAGTCACAAAAAAATATTTCCCAAAACATTCACTTAATATTATGGCATAATGCACAAAGCACCCACAGCTGGATCAGTTTGGGGACTGAATCTGTATTTGGATCCCTGGTACAGACTGTAATGACAGATTTCCCATTTTCCAGCACACTTTTTATTTCCTGTCCAAGTTGTCTAAGTGGTTAAAAATACAGATGTTTCAATGTTAAACAAAAAGCCAAGAGAAGTTAAATAAAGCATTTCAAACAGCACTGAATATGTTCGCTCATTTACTAAGAACTTCTAGTAAAGTTACTTTTCTTCAGTTTATTTTTAGCACTTCTGAAAGTGACAGAAAAACATTTTCCACACAGGGTTAAACATTGACTTTGTAGACAACTACTGCAGTACACTCCAGAGCAGGAAAGATGTTACGAAATGCAGATAGTTTAAGGGAGAAGTTGGGTGCATTTCCCAAAGCAGGAGTTTGTTAAGATTCCTAAAAAAAAAAAAAAATCCCTTTTTCCTTGCTAACTGAGGCACAAGAACTAATGCATTAAGTGGTTATTTTTAGTTCATGTCCATATCTGGCTTCTATCCACTTTTGTTAAGTACTTGTGGTTCACTAGTTCATGGACTGATGGGGTAAACTAATTGCACCAGTCTTTCAGCACTGAAGGACTGTGTGAAAACTTTGTATCACGTTACATGAGAAAATTAGTTGAACAGTCTCATCTTGGCTTCTAATGAACATCTGTCGATATCAAACAGCCATGGCCGCCTGGAAAAAACTGACAGGGTGCTCTTGACAGACCTAGGACCAAAATAGCTCAGGTATTACAGGTCAGAGAGGCACTGAGAAAAATCACCTAAGGTGGGAAATGTAGAGAAATGTCAACTGATCAGGGCACTTGTGTCTATTTCAGTATCCTGCCTCTGGCAGTAGCATATAGAGAGATATATATTTAGAGGTTTTAAGCAAATTAATTTAATACTCAAGAAAGACAGTAGTTCAGACTCTTTGCCCTTTCAATCCTTGGACACTTGCTGAAGCAGCAAAGTCGTCTCAAACAACCATTCATCTTCCTGATGTCAAATCTTCCATATGTTTCAAAAGTATGTTTCAAAAATAATACACAGCATGTTGTTAGACACTATTTTAAGAAGATCAAATTGCTTTTGGCTGTAAATTCCAATGCTACATCTGAAAGATGAAGAAGCAATTCCCATACTGATTATTATAACGTAATTTTTCCCAAGACATCAAACAGTTTTTAAAAGGTAAATGGCATACTAATCTACTGAGCTGCCATAAACTGCTCATTAGTTCACATCAATTTTGGCAGCACTACAGTATCCATGAAATAGTTATTTGTAGTATAAACATTAAGGGGAAAAAAACTCAGTATCTATTATCACAGGTTGAATTAGTACTTCATAATACATCTATGTACAGTTCTTCAGTGTTTGTGAATTGATCATACTCAAATTTGGACATGCATTCAGCCAAAAATTACTACTTACAACTCAAAACTAATTTACAGCATAGGACACAAAGAAAAGAGAAAACTGTATGACAAGCAAGCAGCTAAAAGACATGGGATTCAAATGCCACAAAAGGCACAACTGAACAGTATTTGCAGCAGGTATGTGCAGAGGCTCACATCACCAGTTTAGGGGTTCTGATAGACTGAGGCCTTCTTAATCATTTACAAAACTTCAAAGACTAAAAAAATGTAAAAATTTGTCTGAAACAAAACTGACTTGAAAGTAACTGATTTTTTGAACCAAGATCCAAGGCCAGGCAGGAAGATGGCAGCCACTGTAAGAGATTTGCCTTTGAGATATCAAAAGAATAAGCCAATGATCAGATTCTTCAAGAGTGCTTCAACTCACTTTCAGGTTGGAGTAGCTGGCTACTAGAGCTCTTACACATGTTATTTTATTCACATGAAAATTTTGTAACAACCTACCAGGAGGTTTGAGTATTTCAGAAAATACTGATATACTTGACCCACTTCAAGACTAACTCAAACCAAAAATATGTTGAGAAAGTATATTTCTATGATTTTCAGTTAGAAAAAGTGTTCCCGGCACTGACAATTAGAAGCATGTAAGCTTAATCCTGCCATAAAATTAGAAAGGAAAAAATGCCAGTCTACAGTAAAACATGACAGTACATCATTAAAATTACCAGAACCTAAGTGTGCATATCATGCACTTCCAGACATGGCATTATTAGCTTCCAGGCATCACATTTTCAACAACAGAATCCCAATAAACTTTGCACCTATTTGACTGTATTCTCCAATGTGTAAAAACTCTCATATATGTGGAAATACATTCAGCCACGAAGGGGCAGGACATCATCAAGAACATTAAGTCAATCTGATCTTTCATACTTCCTGTTACCATGAAATGAATGATGCTGCATGTGAAACACATCCTAATATTGTCAACTACCAGTCTCCGCCTATCAGGGCCTCAAGCAGACGGATTAAACTGAGGATGACTTTTTAAGTGGAAGTTTAGAGCAGCTCTCCCTACCCTGGAATTTCTGTCTACCATTTGCCTGCAGTGACTCCTTAAAAATTCATCTAAATATGCAAACGCCATTGAAGATTTTAGAATTATGTTCATCTTCCCTGAAGAAGACTACTAATATCCTACACATTTTCCTTAGGTGTGCAAATGTATACTTTCAGGTAACATAATTGTACCACTGCAGACTAAAAGACTGAGATGGCCACTACTCTCAGCCACTGCAGAAGACTCAGCTTCCCACACATGCTCTCTAGTCAAGAAGATTAAAACTCTACAGTGATTTAAAAGACTGCATTTTAATAGTATGCTGCACACGTAATAGCAGAAATATTCAGTAGTCTTGCCAAGGATTTCTTCAGTAAAATGGATGGCACAAAGGTATTTCTTATGAACCAGCTGTCATCAATACATATAGCAAAGATCTTCCTCACTGGAATATAGGTCTTACACCATTCAAAAATTGATCACTCATTCTCCAGAGCTGCTTATTCTGAGAGGACAACTAGACTTTTACCAGTCAAGAAATGAATGTGCACACAAGGTCAGCATACACAAGATTTAAAAAACAAAAAAACCCACCCCAAAACCAACAAAAACCCCACACCTACAAATCCAGTATTCAGGATCTCCTAACATGCAGAAGGTACACAACTTTGTTAAAATGAGGATCTGCAAGTAAAGACAGGAAAAAAAGACTATGCTCAAGACAAAGCAAGGCCCCTGGAACACCCACAGTGCCACAGATGTAGTGGTAAGGCCTGAAGCCACCTGATAACGTGAAGAAAAAAGAAAACCTCAAGACAAAACAAAGATGATACACTGGTATACTTTTGACATTAGGCAAAAGCAAAAATCCTCAGTAGCCACTGCTTGCATTAGGAAGACACTTGTTCACCTAGATACAGAAGATTTGTTGACTGTTTCACGGGAGGAGAGGAGAGGCATCTAGAATAGTCTAAAACCAATTTCTGCTTTTCACAAAACAGTAACTATTGCTTTGGAAATGTTAGGAAAATACAAAGAAGGCATAAATCCAAGACTAAAGGACTTTTTGGACTGCTTTCAGATAATCTGTCCTGATGCATAATTTGGTGGGAAAAATTGATTTTATTAGACAGGAAAAAGCAAAATAATCTCTACAATGCAGCTACTGTGAAGCCATGTATGAGAAGCCTAATAGATCTCTATAAACTGGCAATATCCTACCCTGCCAAATTCCTACTTTTCATCAGTCAAATAAATGAAGCAAAGATAGCACTGCCTTGGAGTTGTGCTGATTTGAAGGGGAAAAAAATACAGAAGACCTAATGGTAAATATGCATAAATATATTAAGTATTTCTATGGGTGAAGAATGGATCGAGAGCAGCCCTGAGGAGAAGGACATGGGGCTGCTGGTTGATGAGAAGTTCAACACGACCCGGACATGGGCACCTGCAGCCCAGAAAGCCAACAGTATCCTGGGTTGCATCACAAGCAGTGTGACCAGCAGGTCGAGGGAGCGGACTCTGCCCCTCTAGTCCGCTCTTGTGAGACCCCCCCCCATGCAGTACTGCCTTCAGCTCTGAGGATCCCAAAACAAGAAGGACATGGACCTGTTGGAGCGAGTCCAAAGGAGGCCACGAAGATGATCTGAGGGCTGGAGCACCTCTCCTATAGAGACAGGCTGAGAGAGTTGGAGTTGTTCAGCCTGGAGAAGAGAAGGTTCCAAGGACACCTTAGAGCAGCCTTCCAGTACCTAAAGGGGCCTACAAGAAAGCTGGGGAGAGACTTTTTACAAGGGCATGGAGTGACAGGACAAGGGGCAATGGCTTCAAACTGGAAGAGGGAAGATTTAGATCAGATATTAGAAGAACTTCTTCACTATGAAGGTGGTGAGGCACTGGAAGAGGTTGCCCAGAGAAGCTGTGGCTGCCCCATCCCTGGAAGTGTTCAAGGCCAGGTTGGATGGGGCTTTGAGCAACCTGGCCTAGTGGAAGGTGCCCCTGCCCATGGCAGGGGTATTGGAACCAGATGGTCTTTAAGGTCCCTTCCAACCAAACCATTCTATGATTCTATGATTTACTGTGTCTGGTCCCAACAGAATCACAAATCAGAGCTATGTAGGTGTCTTTTTTTTTTTTTATCCTCCTAGGGATTAAAGACTTCCTAAGTAAGTAGTAATGTTCACAGCTCTGCTGAGAGCTGCCTTAAAAAGTCCAGCCCAAAGAGTGCTCGTGTTAAGTTACAGAAAAAACATTACTTTCAAGCTGCGAATCAAACAATCACAAATGTGGCACTGAAAGGAGAACTGAGGGCATGTGTCTTGTCAAGTAAGAATAGCAGCTGGTACCTTTCACATAGCAATTACAGTGCAAGGAGTGCCTCAGTGTATTCTCCCTGAAATAGGTGCGTGGTCATTCTGTGAATACTCACCGAAGCTGGAATGATGTGGGAAATTATAAACTGCAGTACTTACCTAGTTTTGAAAACTGACATTCACAACTTTTAAAAAGCACATTCTCTTTTCAGTTTCCATTTTTACTGCTCTTTGCAGACTTTAGAGTAACAAAGATGACAAAGAAGTTGAAAAGGCTTTACTATTTCAGCTGGCCACAGTCCAACAACATTATGTCTTACTTCAGGTTAAACATTTGTTTCAAGCTTAAGGAAAAAAATATCAGTCTAAAGCACACTTCCATGAAGTGATAAACAAACAAATTGTTGCATCTCTGGCAAGATGAGTCATGCTCGCATGACTGGGAAGCTGTTCAGAAAGCTCACCTTGCACAGGTGTCACTACTGTCCCCTTGAAATGTGGATTTATGTGTATGTTCTTCGGTTGCTGAGGTGTCACTGGAGGTGGAGTCATCATTATTCTAGGTGTTTCTATCTGAGGGGGCATATGTAGCCCTGGAGGAGGAGAAGAATGATGCTGATGCTGTAAAGGAAGCAGAGATTGTAACTGTTGCTGCTGCTGCTGCTGCTGTTGTTGTTGCTGCTGCTGCTGTTGTTGTTGCTGCTGCTGCTGTTGGTGCTGGAACAGACTCCTAACAGGTTGCTGGTGTGTTGGAATTAACCTCTGTGAATGAGTCTAAAGTCAGACAAAAGAATAAAGTCAATAAGCTTTAAAGTTAAAATATCCTAACATAAACCAGCACAAAACTAAGACACCTTTGGAGAACAATTAAGGCCAAATATGAACAGAAAAACTTCTTTCCCATATCATCAACTGGAACTGTTAAGAACCATCAGCACAGCAAAGCAAAGGAACAATCAAAGACATTCATGTGAAAGAGAGGATGGCAAAGAGCAAGGAAGCACACAGGGAACACAGACATTCATTCACTCATTTTTAACAGTGAAACTGTCTAATTTCATGTCTTAGGGTTTTGCATATGTCACTGGAAACAGTTGTCAACTGCAACAGGGTATACCTGATGATCACTAGAAATCTGAGTCCTAGTATCAAAACAAATCCACTAACTTGTCTCATGTATAGAAGAGCCTCTCTGAGAAAATAGACCTAACAGTAGCAACAAAATTCAAAATACAAATAAGCTATATTCTTAAGATATCAGTGCAGCCCACGTACCCATACTGCTTGAAGAAAAAACTACTTTAAAGATATGTTTCAAAGGTACTTTTTGTACCTTTGAAAAGGTACAAAGTCTCCTGCTGCTCAACGCTCTCCAACACAAATGGCCAAAATCAGTTATAATTTAAAAAAAAAATTATCATGTTTCTCTTCGGAGACATTCTTCTGCTTCTGAACTCACTGATAACTAGATATCAGTCCTAGTCCAGTAACTTCCAAATAGTAGCGCAAGAAGAGTCCCAAACAGGCAATCTTTTGGTAACAAAGATGTGACACAATTTTTTTTCAGCAGCCATATACATAAAGCAAAGCAGCTACAAAGTATGCACAAGAAGAATACTGTGATGAGCACAAAAATGTTTACAACATTTAAGATCAAAATAACTAGCAAAGACTGCAACAATACAGAAAAAAAATTATTCCACCTTCACTGTTTTAAAACACGAAATATTCTACTGCAGGGCTCTCAATCGCTGAGATATCCACCGACTCCTGCTAGTGATCAGCACCTAGAGTTACTGCTGTTGGAAAAAATCCCCTTTACTTAATACAGATGACCTTGTCCTGCAAAGACATACACAGGCTTTGTTCTACAATCTCAGCTCCCGATACATTTTATGACAATTAACAAAAATAAGTGTGGGCTACCTCTTGATCACACTCTTGCTGGGGTTTGGGGGTTTTTTTGGATGGAAAAATCAACATCTTTTAGACTGTGATACAAAGCATGGAGGATGGGGCCGGGGGGGCAGTGCGGACAGTAACAAAGCTAAATTTAATCTGAAATCCCAAGATACTAATTTATCTGGTGGTGATTACCTTCCTAAGGTTTTATTTGCCTCCATAGTAGCACCGCAGGTACAGAAAGAGATTTTTTTAGAAGTATCAGCAAAAATATTAGTTTGATAAAAAACAAGAAATATTAATAAAATGGGACTGAACATGTTTCTGTGTTGCATGTAGAGAACTTCTCAGAGGAATTAACTTTTTCCTCCATCCTTATGCAAACCAGTAGGTAAGGTTGATTGTGTTTTATGAGTCAAAATCACTTTCCATTTGGAGGCCTTGAGATTCCTCAAGTTGAGGTCTGTAACAGGACTAAGCACATACTTTCACAATCACCATGTTATGCAAAGCCCATCCTGCCTAACAGTGTCCTGAAAGAGCAAAAAGTGCACTTTGGAATATATATTCCACATTTGTAAAGATTCACAATTTAGAATGCATTTCTCCACAATTTCCTGAAAGTATGGTTAAAGAATACTAAGGATTAAAAAGTACCATTGTTGATGGCTGGTTTGGCAGCAGTGCAGGCCTGTGATCCTTCATTCTTCCCCTATCATTATTGTCTCTCCTTTGTTCTCCCATTCCATGGCACATAACTGAGCCTCCTCTTCGCCCTCCTCTCCTTGAGCCATACCGTCCCTGTTTAAGCTGCCTTTCCCTCTCTTCAAATTCAAGTAATGCTGCTTTGGCTTCTGCAGAAAGTTCTGTTAAAAGAGAATGATGGGGGAAAAAAATATTTTAGCTTCATACTGAGAAGATGGAAAATACAATTAAAAAAAACATCGCTAGAACTACAGAAGCATCCCTGCAAAGAACAAAATTTGCAGGCACTTTGATCTCCTTTAGGTGGCATGTTAACATTTCACTAAAGACATCTTTAAAAGGAAAAGGCACAGAGATACTTGTGTCTGTTGCACAGGCGAAAAGCAGCAGGTAAATGAAAGAAACATGAACAAAAAGGTTTATTTGTTTGCTTTTTTTAAAATGCTATTGAAGTTTGCCTTATAGCATAAGAGGAGGCTGTGGCTCCTCTCACATTTTTGTCATCTTAAACACCTCACATGCAAAGATGTCAGGTAGTACAATGAAACTCCCAGTAAACATTACAATAAAGGATACATCGAGTCTTCCATATAAACAGATTTTATCGGCCAGACTCTTTGGCATACTGGTCTGTTCCAAAGAAGGACTTTCTGGTCCCTGAAGTGTTTCTATGTATGTAACTACACAATATTTATTCTATTCCATGCGGTTTAAGAACCAGCTGTACTTTACAAGTGGCAATTCCACTTAAGAGAGAGCACACTTTGAAATCTGTGCTTAGCTCAAGTCAAATACATGGCCACTGATAACAGCCACCCAACTCGCATCACAGGTAAACACCAGAGAACAGATGGTACTCAAAGACTGCCAAATTTGCTTGAAACCTGGGACAATGCTGATAACATTAAGAGAAAACCATGCAGTAACAGGCCCAGGTAATCAAACTACTTGGAAATACAGAGAAAGTCTACAACAAACTTCATGAAACCCACCATGACGGTACCAGCAGTGCCATCATGAGGTTTCAGTTACTTAAAGGGGATAAACCTTAACCCAATATGCAGCTGAAGGTTTTGCCATGTACCAGTCAGACCCCTTGTTACCTCTAAAATTGACTTCTGCCTCTAATAGGGCAAAATTAAACTACTCTACAAGAAACACACTCCTGACAAATAAAAACATATTTTGAATTTATATAAATGGCCATTAGTGCAAGAATTCCAGTTTTCCATTTAAAAAGCCTGCTCTTAATGTTAAAGGAGACTGGGTACAGTGACCACTTTTCAGGACAAAGTGTTTCTACTTGCTAATACTACACATAGTGGCTATAATATCCGAAGATCAGAATAAAACCAGTTTGTATTTGGCAGCTGAGACACTACTACAACGTCTTCACATCACTACGTATCCTCCATCAAGAATACGCAACTAAAGCAATTAGAAAACTATTAAAATGTCTTGCGAGTCTAAAAGTCAAAGCTACTTAAACCACCATCTTAAATATCTTTATAAGTAATCTCAATTAGTCTTTGAACTTGAGGATTGACAGAAGGGCAGAAAAGGGTGAGCAGCATGCATTCCCACTGTGGCAGTTGTTCTTACTTAGCTACAAAAACTACCTGCACAACTGAGCTGCAAAGACTGTAAATCTGCATGTCCCAGTTTTCAGAGGTATTCAGCACCTCCAGAAAGCATGGGCTTTTTGACTTTTAAAAGAAAAGTTTAGAACTTGCTGACTGTCTAAGAACACAGCAAACATGACGGACTCCTAAAAGCCCAGGATCTACCATACAATTTACCATTTCATTTCTGCATGTTGGTGACAAGTTTCTCTACCTTCTTTTCTCTCCCCTCTGACACTGCAGTTAAGTGGCATAAAGCCTCAACTGAGTGGCATAAATCACACCAGATACTCTTATGAAATGCTACCTTTGCCCTAGCACCTGCCTCGAGACATCAGCTTAGAAACGGCCAAGGAATAACACCCCCTCAGGTCTCAGTATAGTATTAAATGTGCACACTATGGATTTCTGAGGAAAGCTAAGACAACTGCATTCTTGTTCAAAGCAATCAAAAGCATTAGATGCAACTAAAACAATCACCTTATCCATCCTTAGCTGTCAAGGATGAAAAAAGCTGGTTTAACAGGAAAAGCAGAGCTCTGATTTCAAGCCTCATTCCTGTCCACACCTGCAGCAAGCTGTTTCTTCGCAGGCTTGCAAGTGTGATAGGGCTAACATGGGCTTTTAGTTGGTCTGCAGGAAAGACAGACCACTAGCTCCCATATATGTATGGGAAGAAATGGTGCCATTACATTGCAAAGCAATAGCTCTTCTCCCTTTAATAAGAGAGGATCCAAATCCTGCAGGGCATCCTAGGCATGCTGCTAGTTGGAATTTTGGTTTTGTTTGTTTTTTTTTTTTCTCCCCAAGAATAGGACAGGCAGGACAATTTTTCTGCCATCTTCCACACTACAACCCTGAACTCTGCAAGGTAGTTTGGAAAACAAAGTTCAGTCATTGCAACAACTGATACTCATTCAAGATGATAAGAAGCTGTTTCCTATTAAACAGATTAGAAGTCACATGTGAGGAAAGCAATTCTTAATGAACCTGAGAATAGAGTCTCTTAGCCTCTTGAGCACATATACAGAGACACTGAATAGAAAGAACTTTAGAAGAAAGAATGGGCTGTTCCAAACAAAATGACTTCAGAGGGCTGCACAGATTAAGCTCAGGGAAGGGATGACAGCACCCAGGGCAAAATCAGTCCTGATGATCTTCAATGTGCATTGTACTTTTCACTCTCTTTAAAATGAAAACTAATAAATTGTTTTCCTACTCACTTTACACAAAAGTTGTCAAACTTCAAAGGCTGTGTCTTTAAAGACATAGTCCACGTATTCAGTTTTTCAGCCAGAAAAGTGAAAAATCTGTGTAAAACTGACCTTGGAAGAAATATCCCAACCAAAACAACCCCCCCCCATGAATTCACTGCAGCAAGCATCACTACATTCATACCACATCTATGATCACAGAAGTACCATACAGCCATTTGATTAAAAAAAAAAAAAGTAAGATTACATGAACATCAAGCATACTTCTCCCACAACATGCCACTGAAGGCAACAGTGTCCCACCTGCGAAGCATTTGCTTACACAAAAACCTGCAGGTTCAGGGTCTCAGAGACAGACTGCAAAAGTGAAGACTCACACAGTGAACTCATTAATACCTCAAGTGCTTGATATTGGTATCAGTCACCACACAGCAAAATATACAGTCAGCTCAATTATTAGGTGGGCTGTTTATTGAAATTGAGAGCATTGTGCCACACACAGAGATTAAGAAGAAAAGATAGTATAGAAGATGGTTTTGTAGTGAGAGGAGCAAGGAAAACAGTTCCTGTCTTTCCTGAAAGCAAGATCACACTGCTAACTAGAAAAGAGGTGCCAAGCAGAAGAAGAGATCCTCTTGCCCTGCCTAGACTCTTCCAAAGCACAGCCAGGTATTCACATGAAAAGGCCCACTGCTTCTCCCTGGCTAAGAGCTTGTGTGCAGCATGGCGAAAGAACACTGAGCCAGGCTGGATGTTGCCATGTCCCCTAGACAGGGTGTGCAGGCTGCTGCAGCACATGGCTGTCAGCTCCTGCCCATGTCAACCCAGGCACAGGTCTCTCTGGTTACATCTGCCTTGGGTTGCTCCCTGAGAGTAACAGCATTTCAAAGCCCCAGGTTCAAGAATCCCAGAATCCCTATTATCCTGGATAACACAGAGATTTACAACATGAATCACATTCCAGAACAGCTATAAAAAGAAAATATACACATGCATTTACATACATATGCAATCTAAATTGAGAGATCACCAATGTTCTTTTTCTTTAAAAAAAACCCAAACTTTTTTCCTCCTCATCGTCCAGACTTGCAACCTGATTACACTACGTGCTTCTGCAGATGGTGCAACAGTGAAACCACTGATTTTAATTTCCTAGCCTTGCCTGAAATCTCAGCCACCAGTTATCAGAATGAACATAAGCCAACTAAGCAGGACATAACAAAAAGTACTACCACGTCCAATAACCTTTGCTATCATTTTGCAAATGGCTCTGCATAAGTGTAGGGTTTTGATTTTTAAATCATGTAGAGAGGGAATAGTTTCGCGATGTCAAACAAAGCCATTTTTCTTCTTCACGTTTCTTAACGAGTAACTAAATCCAGAGCATAATGAAAATTCCAACTCTGGGAAGAGTTCAGCTACACTCACAGAAAAAAGTTATCTCCCATCAAAGATGAGAAACTCAGTATCTCTAGAAATCAGTTGCATAATTGTCCTCTCCTTCAAACTTTTCAAAACCACTACTTAAATTATTCTGGATAAAGAAACATTTAGGAAAGATATCAGCTACATTAATTACAATACTCTATTTTTATGTATTTTTTACCAGCACACACTTATTCTCATCTTCACTGTACAGATCTCACAGTTAATGCAGTGAATCAGCAATTATTTTTTACTGTCTCTAAGTGTCAAGATTAATTTCACTATCTCTGGTAATAAAATGGTTTCAAATGACATCTTTAATCAGCAAGTAAGAATGCACTCCTCCAATAGAGACAAGCTGTCACAAAAGGTCACCAAAATATGACAGGATGGAAATTACGTTTGTAACTTCAACTGAAATGTTAATTCCTCTTTAAGTGTTTTCTCAACTATGTTCAGATTTTAAAGTAAGAAGATGTATTTCTGCAATGAAGTTTCATTTTTAAACCAGTAGCATCTGTAAAAATTTGCTGTATAATCTCAAAAGCAAGCAGTTATTTATATGCAAACAAGTATTTTTTTGCTGTTTAACTTTCCACTACATAGTCAATGATCTGGTCTCTTCATCAACAGATCAACATGAAAAACTAGTATGAATAGATACCATTTCACAACAGCAAGATTGTATTTTTGCCAAAGATTATTTTCAAAAAAAACTCTTTAGTTTACAGATTCATCCATATTTGCATATTTTTTCTTATATCTCAGAGCTACACCCCAAATGACTTAAAATTACACTTAAAAATAAGTCTAATTCAAATCACTGATCCTTTAACAGTCAAGCTCCACTACAGGTTTTCTCCTCACTGGCTGGTCTTGTCTTTACATTAAACTATAGAGTAAATCCACAGATATATGAAAATGCAAGCAACTGTCATCTACCTTGCAATTACATGCAGAGACTTAGCTATTCTAGTGCACTCTTGTTTTTAAAATATTCTGTTTTGTAAAGCCAACAGCATCTTTTGTATAAATAAGGTACCATCTGCATGTGCTATGTAGAAATACGGCCTTATGGTTGAAAACACATTTGGAATGCACATCAGTTAAAATATCCCTTGCCCATAGACTACTCTGTGCCTCTAGAGGGTTCCCTTCAGTCTTATTCTAATCAGAATCAATTCCTGATTATTAAAACAATGCTGAATAAAGGCTCTTAATACACTCTTTGCCTGAAATTGCAAGTAAGAAGAGCTATTTGCTAAATAAGAAAAACAGATGAGAAAGATCTTGATTCAAAATCACACACTGACGTCTCACAGCATGACATGGCCTACATGAATACTGCTGTGAAAGTCTGGTTCAGCCTCTGCAGCTGACTCCTTGTGGCTCATGAACAAGTTCTCTTAGCCACAACACCTTTATAACAGAATTAAGACTTCTCAACTTTTGCAGGCACAGGAAAAGCCCAAATTCCTTGCAACTGAACTAAAGAATTAGTAAGCTACACAACTCAAGAGAAAAATCCTTAGAACTAACATCCTTTGCAAAGCAAGGCCTTTATGGTAAGAGGAAAATTTCATCAGGACGAGTTCCTGCAATCTAGGTATGTGCTTTGGGAACTTAATTCCAATTTGCCCTGTTGCCCTAAAGACACAGACTCATCTGGAAAGAAAGCTGAAGCACCCAGCTTCCAAACTATTCCAGACTGTAAGAATGGTACACCCTTCTGAATGCAAAACTTAATTTATGCCCATCTCCCTCGTATCACCCTTTTCGTTTGACTTTTTATTATTATTACCACCACTGTAAGGCCAACATGGAGAGACAATATACTTATTCCCAGTGGGGCAGGTACAACACCAGCATCAGATACTTGAGTACCCAGGACACATGATGGGTCTTCAAGTCAACTCTGAAAACCATGAACTACTGTGATTTTATTTATAGACTAAAACAGAGCAGCTGCAAGAAAGTTGCAAATCTACTATTGCTTCTGAACTAGCAATGGCAAATGCATTACCTACATGGAGCAGTGTTCCTAGAAACACACTTGTGTTATGCTACTCAAATACAAAGAAAATATACCCTTTTAGACACTGCCTAAAGAATCAAGGTGGTATAAGAGACCAAGATTGTCCCACATTAGAAAAGCTGAACCCAGAAAACAGGGGTTTCCGTATTTTTCTAATATGCTCCCCAGCAAGTTACATTTTCTCTAGGCCAATCCAACAGTAGGAACACAACAGGTTCATAGCACAGTTCCTGGGGGAAAACAGCAAACATGCAGGTATTTCACAGCAGAACACAAGTAACAAGATTTGTGTTATCAACTGAAAAATCTTCCAAGGATAGAAGTTCAAAGGAATTCCTTAAAATGTATTCCACCAAAATACGTAGTGAAGCACAGATTAGATAGCTGCTGCTGCTTGAAAACAGGAAAGCTTTTAAAGACACCACAAAAGTCTCAATGAACAAACACTGCACTGGTTTTCAAAACGTGATACGCTCAAATATTATTCCCAAGGAGACAGACACTACACATACTACAACAGACTACACGTGACTTCAGACTACTTGGATATAGGTTAGTACGTTAGAAGGCGACTGTTCTACATTTTGCTATTAAACTCTTCTCTAAAAGTTTCAGAAAGCCCATCTTTTACTTTCTTTTATTATAGCTCCATTGCCACAAAACCTCACCTAAAGTTTCTGGAATGTTTCTCCTTTCTCTCGTCACATCTGAGAGCCTAATTATTGTTCCTTCTTTCCGTTCAGTTTTGAAACGTAATCGTCCAGACTCTTCATCATCATCCTCCTCTTCATCAGATTCTTCTTTTGTTTCTTCTTGAAGTTCCAGAGATTCAATAGCTGCCTGAATCAGAAAATACAGAGGACATGCAACCTGAAAAATCTACTTTCTTGTGATCAGTGAGCATCAAAAGAGAGAGCTTTCTTTAAAGGTCTCTTTGTACAAATTTTGCTAGCATTATACATTATTCTCATATACAACTCAGTGAACATTTAAGAGCTTGGTGAATTTTTTTAAAATATAAAGATACGAATTATACAGTAAATTATATAGTAAAATCTATTGAGAAACCCCATTTTGCTGCAATATTTAAGGGAATACGGAAACTCCAGTTAGAGTCACCATCTGATTAGTAGCTACCTTTGCACACAAAGCAACATTTTATCAGTGAATTGACTACGATGCAAACCTGGGATACTACTAGATTCAAGTAATACCAACATTAAATAATTTTTTTTCCATTTCTTAACAACTATCAAGTAGTATGTTGTTAAAAAAAAACCAAAACACCACAACAAAAGACAGATAACCTTACATCTCAATTTTATTGCTCTAGGTATGTATAACCACACTTGTTTTTACTTTTTCTACTCCTTGAATACCTCCCAGTTTTAATTCAGCAATTGATGAAGAGAATGGAGAACAGGATTGGGTAAAATTTGAATACACTAGATTTGTGTATTGGAATGCTACTCCCTTGTCCTCATTTACTTTCTAGTTCTCTCTATAACAGAAAACATTTATTTAGATGAAATAATGTCCCAAATGAAAATGGATCCCTCTCCTTCAAATTAAAAAAAAAAAAAAAGGCAAAAATCAATTCCATTTTCCTGTGCTGGCATGATAAAGTTAATGTTCAGAATGTTACACAAGTTAATTTGATTTCTAGAGTTGAAAAAATATAGTACGATTTTCTATAAAATATTTGGTTACTGTGCATTTGGTTATTTCTTGCACAAGCCTACTGGCTCATTTCTTAGGGCCTGCACATGCATTTTAACTCTTTGCAAAGCCACTAAATACATCATAACTTTTATGTTGCTTGAGGAGAGTTAAAAAATGAGTGAAATATAACATGCAAAAAATGGTTTAATCTTCTAATTAACCAGATTGGTGCAGTAATTTGTATGAAAAAGGCACAATAAATGTGTCAGTCAGGTGGACAGATACTAAGTCACAAATCAAAAAAAAGAATTAATGGCAAAATGGTGCAAGAGAGTGCAAATTTCCTTATCCAGGAGCCTAACTTCATCCAAAATCAAAAAGAAACATGGAAGGCAAGATCAGAGACAGGATCAGAGACTCCGTAAAAGACAGCAGACCATATGAACTCAAGTTCAAAGCTACTCCAAGTTTGGTCTGGTGAATACATGATCTGTATACTTAGTTACTGGGCTTTAATGGGTGCCTGATCTCAAGTTATTTTCATTTTACCTTCTCTATCTCAGAATGTGTTTTATCCATTCCAGGTAAACATTCAAGCACTACACTTCCTGACTTCACAGAAATATTTTAAGATACAGCCAAGAGAACAGCCAAAGTTTACAAAAAGCTTTAAGACTTACATTTTAAAAAGATACTTACTTTTATATAACTACTTTAGCATATCAAAAAATGCAGCTAAAAATAACAAACAGGACAGCAGGCCAAAAAAAATACTCTTCAAGACTGAAAGAAATCCAAACCTTAAAAGCAAAGCCAAATTGAGCACAACTGGTCTGATTAACATATCCATGTATAATCAAAGCACCTCCGAGGACAGGCAGTTGAGACTCATGGAACAGAGGAGGGACGTTAGTAAGGAAAGAGACACTAACATGGTTTAATAAAAACAAAATAAAACAAGGGAGAAAGGCAGCGTTAGCATTTTACTTTCAAGAGAGAGACTCCCAAAAGAGAAAGGAGTAGCAATTTCTATCAAATCTATGTTTTTAAATATCATAATTTTACTGTCTCAATACTTGTCTTCAAAAACTTTCCCTTCAGCATCAGGATTTGGAAGTCAGAACCGGAGTGGCTGTTTTGCAAGATGTGCTCTCTCACTACACTGAGCCTCCTGCTTTACTTCAGGGCATAAACCCCAGACACATCCACTCTCTATGTCCTTGCCCCTTAAAAGCTACATTGGAATTCCAGTTTTTATTCATCAAAGACTGGTCTCAGTCATGTGAGCTCATCTGTGAGTGCAAAACTTACTCATGCAAGGTTCTGCGTGTGGCTCGGACTGCAGAATCAGAACTAGATTTGTTAACGCAGTCCGCATTGTCCTGAAAAATTCTGCAATGCTTTAATGAAACGCTACAGAAAATACCTGTGGAAGCTCTGTTGCTTTTTGATAATTACTAATTCTGAGGGAAAAAAAAAAAATCCTTTCAAAAAAAAATAATGCAAGTTGTAACAGACTACAGGACAATTACTCCCCTATGCAACAACCAAAAACATTTCTCAAACTTTTCTAGACCAGTACTATTTTATTCTTAGCCACTTATACCAATTCTGTAGTCTTTTGGGTCTAACTCACTTTTTCATCTGTATAACACTCATGCCACCTATTAACAAACAACAGCCATACAAGCATTAAATATCAAAGACAAAAAAAAAATTAAATCAAAGGAGCTAATGAAAAAGCAGGCATCAACGAAATGCAGTGCTTGAGAATGCTAACTGACCCACGCCCAAGTCTGATTACACACATTATTGAGGGATTTATATTAGTTGCAATGGAGACACAAACATGTCTGACAGTAACCGTATGTTCTCTACGTATAGCTCCAGAAAAGGTTATCTGAGCTGTGTAGGAGCATATACCCTTCCCCCACAATTTGTTCCAACAGTTGTAGCATACAAGACTCCTTTAAATCACTTTTTCCAACTCCCAGCCTAACAGGATGAGTTGTTTTGCCAAGTTTACAGTATATGAATGGATTCTACATTTCAGAAGAAATTTATACAGGAAAAGACACAAGTGCAGACATAGAATTAAGACATACTAGTACTTACAGGATTCTATTTAATACTCGCTAAGCATGAATACCTCTGCATATACATAAACAGTCCCTGAACAGCCACTTGAGGTCATTTGACTGGACTAGCCAGCCAAGGATTCTTTTCTTAGCAGTTCTCCTCAAAGGGAGCTTAATAGTTCCTATTATGACACCTTGCACAAAGCTACCAAAGAGCTTTGCTGACTCTTCCTTACAAACAAAAATAATGACCTTTCTTGTATCACAAGGTCAGAGTTTTCTGCCATCCTCATTAAATAATTATGCCATAAATCCCAGCCACTGACCAGAATTCCCCATGCTAAGTTATGATCTGCTATGGTCAAAGAGTGCTCCTGCCCAAAACAGCTTACCAGGCAGTTGCAGGACTGATAATGTGCATAGCTCAAGGAAAGCTGAAGAAAACAATAGTCAGCATAATAAATGCTGATCTTAGCACAGGATCTTCCTAAACATGGGATTGTCAAGTGTTCTGGAGAGTTCTGTGTCAGAGATTGCTAAGACGTACAAAACAGGTAAGCATTGCAAAGGCTAAACCAGATTCCTTCTACATGAAACATTACGAAGGTAAAACAAAGAACTTTCATTAACTAGCTGGAAAATAAGCCGTGGAGGCTTCTACAAGAGGCTAACACTGAAGCAGCAGCAACCGCGCAATCCTAAGGGATCAAGAAATAAGAGAGAGCAGATAAGAGGACGCTACACCTATTCCAAGGGCACCTCCACTTCATAGATGAAAAATGGCAATGAAAAACCAAACCTAAGAGCTTCTAAATATGTTTAAAACTTGGCTCTTTTGATTTGCACCATTTTCATCATTTTCCTCCAGGTTGACAGCTACTATCTTCATACTTGAACATGAGAACTAAAATGCTTACGTTTTGACTAAACACAGATGGAACAATTTGAGACATTGCCCTTTTTCTTCTAACACTGTATTCTATCAAAAGAAAAGCAGTACGTAGCACTTCATGAAATGTTTTCTTGATTACAGTCCTCATCATTTCTGATCAGCATAATGCAAGACATAGTTTAAATTTATGCAGTGAGAAACCCCCTATCATAGCCTTCACAGGAGATTAGTTCCAATATGAAAAAAAAAAGAAATTACGAATTCTCACTTCAGGAGGTTACATTTTTATGAAATAATGAAGTGATATTATTCTTCTAAAAAATATTTATGACATGGTAACACACATAACTCACAGTTTTACCACACCTATTTGCTTTGGGTACTTCTGGGCACTGAGTTTTGCTTTGCACCTTAGGAAGGCAAAAATATTTCCTAAAGCATTGGTACATTTTTCAAGAAAGTTCCACAAAGGTGTTACTTACTCAAAATCCAAGTTCTAAGCATTGTTTCAAATTAAGTATCAAGTTAAAAAGCATGTCTTGACCCGGATCTGGCCAAGGAAACAAACTTCTCCTGCCTCTTCCTCACACCTCCCACCTCAGTGTCACTCAATGTGTCTCACTTCCCTTATTCACCACTTCCGCCCCCATCATGTTCCAATTCCCCAGCCAGTCAGCTTTTCTCTTAGTGTACAAGACTTCTTCATGTAGTATAAAAGACTTTTTTCAGTCTTAACGTCAAAACTGCTGTCGACATGCTGGAGGGAAGGGATGGCATCCACAAGGACCTGGACAAGCTGGAGGGATGGACCCATGCCAACCTCATGAAGTTCAACAAGGCCAAGAACAAGGTCCTGCACATGGGTCAGGGCAATCCCAAGGACAAACACAGGCTGGGCACAGAATGGATTGAGAGCAGCCCTGAGGAGAAGGACTTGGGGGTGCTACTTGATGAGAAACTCAACATGACCTGGCCATGGGCACTTGCAGCCCAGAAAGCCAACAGTAACCTGTGCTGCATCACAAGCAGTGTGACCAGCAGGTCAAGGGAGAGGATTCTGTCCCTCTGCTCCACTCTCATGAGAGCCCCCCCTGCAGTACTGCCTTCAGCTCTGGGGACCCCAACACCAGAAGGACATGGACCCGTTGGAGTGAGTCCAAAGGAGGCCACGAAGATGATCCGAGGGCTGGAGCACCTCTCCCATGAAGACAGGCTGAGAGAGTTGGGGTTGTTCAGCCTGGAGAAGAGAAGGCTCTGCGGAGACCTTACAGCAGCCTTCCAGTACCTAAAGGCGCCTACAAGAGAGCTGGGGAGTGACTTTTGGCAAGGGCCTGGAGTGACAGGACAAGGGGCAATGGCTTTAAACTGGAAGAGGGAAGATTTAGATGAGACACGAGGAAGAACTTTATCACGGTGAGGGTGGCCAGGTTGCCCAGAGAAGCTGTGGATAGCCCATCCCTGAAAGTGTTCAAGGTTAGGTTGGATGGGGCTTTGAGCAACCTGGCCTAGTGGAAGGTATCCCTGCCCATGGCAGGGGTATTGGAACCAGATGGTCTTTAAGGTCCCTTCCAACTCAAACCATTCTATGACATGCTTAAAATACAACACTACCAAACACTTTTCTCTATCAGCTCACTCTCAGTTATTCAGACACCAAATTTCAATCAAGAAATAACAATGCTATTTATTTGTACCACATCTATTATAGCTCCATTCTGGTGTTGTATTTTCTAGGGGAGAATGCCAACAACCACCCTTGTTTACAAGCAGTGAATGTGATGAGATTTACGGAGGAGCACTGTTATGTAACACTCAAAGAACAAAACTATTCAGAGCTGGAGGCACGCACCTAATCATGTAATAAACAGAAGTGCAAACTCTACAAAGATTATCTCTCTTGGTGGTATTCTCATTTGGAAAGCGCAATTGTGAGCCCACTGACAAATGTAAATAAGCTACATATGAAATAATCAAGGAATAAAAAGATGGTACTGTTTTGGAAACAAGAAACATGTGGCAATGCGCAAGCCATCAGAATAAAGCCAGAAATGTAGAGTAACTGAATAAAGATGTGGCCAAAATGTTCACATTACATGATGAACAAATTCTCTAAAAGCTCTATTAACAAAATCAATTAAAAACTTTCATTCAAAAGATAACATTAATGCAAGAAATTTAATTCTGAATTGGACAAATTTAGACATCATGAGTATCACAGAATTCTCACTAGTTCATACTCTAAAAATGAAGCTGTTCTTTTTTAAAGCCGTAAGGTTGACAATGAATCCCAGCTATGTACTTAATTTTACACGACGTGCAGTGCTTTCATCGCCTCATACAGACTGTGGCTGCAGATAGTACAAACGCATCAGTCCGCTTTTAAAACACCAGAAGGACAGTGTATATAACCCAGTGAATGAATAAAAAAAAGTTTAAGTGTTTCACAGTTCTTTGGAAGGGTAGATTTAATACATAGGAAGTAGGAAATTAATTACGCTAAGGCATATTTGGTGTAAGGCATCATGCTTGCAACAGCGAAGACTGAACGATGCAGGTGGTCCCTTTCAATGCACCACTCCACCTACCAAAGAATTGCGTTTTATTATAGTAAGTTTGATACAACCAGAGTATCACAGCACACCCATTTGTTAGAACTTCATAGAGTAACATTGCTGTGTCTTTGAGGAATTACTTTTCTGATGAATTAAAGCTCCAAAGAAGGAACACACTCTGACTACACTTCTCAGCAGGTAATCCATTCAATCCTATTTAATTAAGCACTGGAATAAAAGTAATATTAAAGCAGATTCCTAGTGGAGAAACGAAAAATTCTTACATCAAAAACTTGCTGCAGATTAATAACAAGTATGATATCCCTGTTCCAGGCTATAACCAAAGAACATATACTTGACAGTTTTTGGCATAAGCTTTCTTCTTGCAAATGAAAGAACTCCTCCTTTTTCCTAAGTGAAGAATTAAGATAAACTTCAGAGATTTCAGTCCCAACACAACTTCTTTCAAAACAACAAACAATCTGACGTTTGCCTTTCTAACATACAGAACCTGCCATGCTCACATTCCTCCTCAAAGTGGGATACCCAAGAAGTGTATCTACACTCCCAACAGCAGCAAATTATCCATCTGGAAAGCAAGGCACCATAGCTGTTAGAGATTTAACAGACAGCATGCAGTATTACTATCGTTCCCCTACTCAAAAGGGCCCCTGAAGTTTCTAATGTTGAAGTTCAAATTAAATATGGACATTTCGAGCTCTCTGTTCTGATTTTCATTCCAAAGGGGAGAGGGGATCTGAGGTATCTGACGACATAGGTGCTATCACAATTCATCTTATACAAAGAGTAATACCACCAATAATTCAACACTGGCAAAGTTGCATCAGTTCCTACCCAGCAATATGGACAATTCTACAAATTCCAATTCTGAAATAACTAGTTATTTTAAGTTTCCATTAAATTCACAACATACCTCTTCCGATTGTCTGGGATTCTTCCAGCTCCTCATCAGCAGTATATTCTTCTTGTTCTTCCATTCCTTGTTCATTATATGACTGCATGTAATCTTCATCCTAAGGCAAAAACACATGAAGGTGAAAAGACATAGGCCAATCTTACAGAATCACAAACCCCTTAAGAGACAGGGTCTGTATGCATTGTTATTGCTTTCAGAACTGGAAGAGAAGCATTGTGCCTATCAGAACTGTCAAATATAAGTGACGTATCACATAAGGTATAATTAGCAGGTCTTTTCACTAGACAATAATTTCAATATTGTCAAAAACATAACCAAAACAGTTTTCATTCAGATCCTAGCAATTTAATCATGAAGATCCCATCTACCACTGTTTGCCCCATCTACTTCTGTACTTCTACATCCTTTGATTACAAATTCATGAAGCAAACACTGTAGTACTGTCTTACCAAAGGAAACATGCATCTATAGCACATACATATTAACATCAGATTTCACCCCATCAAAAATATAAACATTCTTAAATCATTCTGCAAGTGCTTACATATGAATGGCTTCAGTTCTGAACAATTACGAACATAAAATGAGAGTAAAACCTTTCTTAAGCTTGCTTGTATTTTAAAACATGTCACTGATCACATACAGTTTTAATTAAGATTAAATCATTTCACTTGCAATTAAAGCTAGTGCATGTTCTCTAATACGCTGCTTAAATTATATTGAATTATGCAGGTGACATTTTCTGAACGAACCTCCAATCTCTTTATTCAGGTTTAGACAGTTCTCAGTTACAAAAAGGATGAACGAGCAGGACATCAATCACTTTGGGATATTAGCACCTTAAAGATGTCTTTAGCAGGTCAATAATCTTTTCACCTTCGAAGGACTTTATCAGATCTTGTCTAAAGCCTGGATAAAAGCTTTTGCATTAAGTACTTCTAACAATTGGCAGTGTATCTCCACCACACAAAGCTGTTTTCTTCCTTAAGGATACAATCCTCAAGGTCATGATTCTCAACTGCCTTCCAGCATGACAAAGGAGCATTACCTACCGCCAAACAAGCTGTCAACACAAACTTTGTCACAGCCTAGATAAAGAAACTGGCAGACAGTGATAATAGGTCTAATTTCCCCTCCTCCCTAGGGAGGTAAACAGATTTCAAATCAGTCTAAAACCCTATGCACATGAAGCAATGTTATCTTTGAAGATACAATAGAAAGAAACTCACTGGAAATTCATCTAGGGGTTCATTGATTTCAAGGTCTAGCACTTCATCTTCTTCTCCAGGCTCTTCCCCATATTCTATTTGGTCTTCTGTCAGTTCAGGATCATTGCCTTCATAATGTCCTTCATGTGCATATTCTGAAGCATATACTTCAGGTGCTTCAGATTTGTCATAAACAATTTCATCTTCCCCTTGGTCATATTCAGACTCATGTTCTATTGATGGATCGTTGATGGTCTCAGAGAGTTCATATGATGTAAGCATGCCAGATGTAGCATTGAGGCTAACTGTGACACCTTGAGAACTACAGTATGGGAGGGGGGAAATTCAGAGGTTGAAGCATAACAGTCAACTACTCACAACGATTTAGAAAAACAAAGCCAACAAATACAAATTCTCCAAGTTGGTGGACAAAATTATATCTCATACACTATTTGACTCCATGCCATATTCTCATAATGCATACTGTACTGCAGCTTATCGCCAGCTACAGGCTATTTGACCAGGGGAATCAAATCAACCAGATGGTTTAGCAGGTCAAACTGGCAAAAGTCCTGCTTGGTAACCAAAGAAAACCGGATTCAATTTTAATTCCAAGACTAACAAAAAACCAGACAGAATTACTATAACTGCATCTGTTTTCCCAATGTTTCAGAATATGCTAGTAGATTTTTTTTTTTTTTATTAAATGTATCAATATAGTTCCTTCTTGATTATCTTGAATGCAAACTTACATTTTTACGACAGATTTAATGTTCTACTTAAAATGATGTAAAATATATAGCCAAGAACTGTCATTTAAATGCTTAAGACTTATTCTAACTTAGTAACACCACTGGCACAAACACTGAAAATAAACAATCAATACAAAAACTGGCAAGTTTATAATCCAGAGGAAAAGCAATTTATTGTTTACAATAGCTAGTGCCATCAACACATAAAAGAGCAACTAATCAATTGCAGACTAGTTAGAAAAGTAGGGGGAAAAAGCTCTTCTTGATATGAGGGCTCCAGGTACAAGGAAAACAAATTTTTTTTTTTTTTTTAATTACCTTCCTATTATTCACTATTTTCCTAAGCTTGGGGGAACAAGATCCAGGCAGCTTTGATCTATTTGCGTCCAGAAGACAGAACACTTAACACGAAAATGAAGGCATTATGCAGGATTATTATTATGCTCCCAACTACAGAGGCATAAATGAGTTTGAATGGAAACATAGGGAGAGGGGAAAGGAGTGAAGCAAGGGTCTCACTCTCTGGCAATCAAACTGCTAAAAATGCAAGATTTGTCTACAGAAACCTGCTTCCACTGAGCAATATTATCACACTTCAGATACTTTCTCATCACTTGTACAGTCACATAGCCAACCCTGCTGCCCAGGAGGAAACCCAGAGAGAAACAGCAGGGATTGTAACTGGGATTCCCCATTTTGAAGGGAATAGTCCAACTCTCACTCCTGCAGGAGGAAAACAGCAGCCAAAGGAGATTGATGGTCTAAGGTATTTCACCACACCCTGATCAATCCAACACAGGGACAGGACTCCTTATACTAATTCCAGCCAAGGACAGAAAGGAGATCTCAGAGCAATATTACAGACATAGATTCATACCCCTTCAGATGACATGCCTGCATAGCACGCAACAAGTAAAGGAAAAGCTGGCAAAACACACAGGTCATTAAAAGTACCAGTGGTACTGCATCACAAGTATCTTCCTTTCCCTTTCAGTCCAGCTTGAAAAGCAACAATGTCAAGACACTCATTTTGACTTGTAATGCCCATAATTCAGTTATGGAGCTGTATCACCACAGAGTATTCACAGGGCAGGATACTTGGTAAACTCCCATGGAAGTACCTGCGCAATCATGTAAACTCTGTACAAAATTTTCTGCTGCGTCAGAAATATTTAAGCCACAAATCAAGCCTTACAAACTATGAAGCTGCCCTCATGGTCTAGGGAGATAAGATATATTTTTAAAAGAACGATAGCAGAAAAGGATTTTACAGGAGAAGGAAGCCTACAACAATACCAAGAAGGTACAGAACAAGAGCTGAGTAAATATTTATAAATAATTCTAAATGCACAGGAGATGACATGGTTTCTTCTTTATAAGCTCTTTTTATAGATTTGAGTTAAATTTATTAGATTCAAATAAACAAAAAAATCAGTTTACTGAAATGCTAACAATGCTACTGAACATATTATATATACATCATTAAGCAGCTGGCTAGGTAAAAAGCAAAATTATTTCAAGTATATATCAATAACTTCAGTTTAGTGGTGATTAATTATCAGTAGTAGCAGTCATTAATAGCTTTGAGTTATCCAAAACACAAGATTTAGAAAAGAGATACCGAAATTCTTGTTCCTCTTCATTGTCACTTTGCAGGAGATCATCATTCAGCTCTTCATCTGACAAGTCTGACTGGTTCTAGGTTTCACAAAAAGTCAAATCATGAACATAAAGGATATAAAATTTTAACTAACTCAGTACTGAAACTATTGAAACTTCTGAGCACCAAGTATTTTTGATGAAGAACTCATCCCAGACTAAGACAGTATCTTCAATGAAATTGCCTAATTCAATGAAAAAAAAATACACTACACAAGACAACAAATCTGAAAATAAATGTTTGACAGTTTTTGAAATTTACAGAACTCAAATTTGCCTAGTTAGCAACACTTTTCACTGGTGCATTCCCAAATACAGCGAACGATGACAACTCACTTAAATACCAGCAAGAAAGAAAGGTTAGCTTTAGTATGCTGCCCTGTGACCTTGATGCATTAGGCAAGTCAAGAAAATCCACTAAATTACTGTGGCTTTTACAGATCAGAGATACTTAGGAGACTGGAGGAAAGAATACGATGATGTGAAGAAAACTGGAAAACCATAATTAGTTTGTAAGTGAAAAAAAAAAAAGAAAATATCGTGCCTTTTCTGAACTCCTCCTAATTTGTCTATCATACTTTCAGTTGTCTTTTTTTTTTTTTTTTTTTTAATAATTACCCACTAGGACGAGATAACTGCAGTTTTGCTAAGCAACATTCTTTCCATCCCCTAAAGTAATAGGGGCAGAAAGGTTATACAAGGGTAGATTTATCTAAAAGTACTGGGATGAGATTAAGTAGAGGCAAGTTTAGCCTAAATTGCTCAGGGAAAACTTCCTGAGAAATCTATTATTACTCTACCATGTAAGTCCATACCCACAGAAACTGCTCAGAGCCATGTAACATGGCAAACTGAAAACAAGAATAGAAAAAGCACAAGAACACATAATACATTGGAGAAATCTAATATTGGTTAGTATTCACACAGATTTTTTTTTTTTTTTTTAAGATAAGTAAGTAGCTTTATCAACTCACGTTTCAACTATAAAGATGTATGCAATGTTAACTGCTTACGGTTTTGGTAACTGTGTAACTCACATCTGCAAACCCTATCCTCCTGGAATTTTATTTTTTAAACCAGTACATGAGACAAAGGAACTTCCTGTCTTTAACAGGGATTACTTACAGAATAATTTCAAGAAGCTACCTTCCAACATTTAGAGTGTGATTATAAAAAACGACATCAATTAAAATTCAACTTTTACAAGATCTGGGTTTCTTAACAAACTTATTCATCTCCAACTAAAACTTTTAAAACTATTTTCTAAATGAATTTGTTTAGCAGATAAAGTGGAGAAAGAGGTGACTAGCCAGTTTTGATTTCCCAAACAGAAGTCTTGTCTTCTCCTGCAGATATCTGGCAAATCCAAACATACACTTAGTTCCTTTCATAGAGTTGAATTTTGGAAATAGGTATCAGAGTGAGAAGTCTATAGCAGACATGGGGGGACTCATTTATGTTCTCCAATGCTAGCTGCTTCCATACTCTTCCCTCATCACAGAAGGGGAAATCCTCTGCCTACACATCAGACAAAGTAGTAGCAGACTGAGAGCAGTGAGTGGATCTTTAATAGACACCACCGACTGCTTTATTTACTCTCTGCTAAATACTGCCAGTATTTTGATGAGTAACTTTTAATAGCCAGGAAACTGGCAGTTGAAGCAAAATCTCCAGAATGCTAATCAGCACTCAGGAGCCATAACTGGGTTTTTCTGTTTTGTTTGGTTTTTTAATTGTTAAAACAAAATGAGCTACAGAGAAACTGATTTTGAGAACCACCACCTTTTTCAACCATGCGTTAGGAGAAGAAATACTATCTCAGGAAAAAAAAAATATTTTCTAGAAGTTGTATTTTAAAAAGCCACACTTAGAGGTACTTCACAAAAGGAAACAGAGCTCTGGGAGCAGAGTGCTCTGGTAACAGGGCAGATCTCGGGTACCTGTGGCTGTCAGTCTTTGGGAAGGCGACTGTAAAATACATAAAAGGCCATACCAAACAACTGAAGTGGTCAAGTTGAACAATATTTGCATTTTAAGACCTGTAACAATTCCATTTAATGCACACCTCTTACCTTTTTGCCAGTTAGCAAATCCTCTCCAAGCAAGTCATCATCAAGTTCACTGGAAAACATTAACAAATTTAAGAGGCTGAACCTTAGAAAACAGAAACAAACACCATATAGAGTACACACCTTAAAAAACTAACTTGAGAATTGTCACTGAGTCTGCACAAAGCTTTCCTTTTAGCAAAGCATTCAGGAAGTTGAAAAATGGGATATATATTTTTAAATGAAACAATAGATCATACACATTAAGGCCGTTGTTATGCAGTCATTTCATTTTCGTATGCTCTCCTTTCCATATCCCTGCAACTATAACACAGCACTAAACCTAGACATAGCACAGGCATTTAAAACACAGTTAACTAGGTCCTCACTGTAGATACTTCACTTCAAGGCTGTTTGGGCATATTGTCCAAACTGCTGTTTCCCACCTCCCCAGGGAAGAAGCAAGTTAGACAGTAATGTCCTCTGGACAAGACTCGGTCTACAGGCCACCATGTAGCCCAAGCTGCACTTCAGCAAGAAGGTACTGGGAGGCTAGCTGGCTTGTGAACCACTTAGGCCTAGATCTTTCAAAAATACTTTATTCCTTCCTCCTCAAGTTGAGGGTAAGGTCAAACAGACATTTGTAGGATGACAAAAATCAAATGTACGTTTTACCATCTTTATAAGTGTGGCTAAGAATTCAGGAAGCATAGAAATACCTGGCTTACAAAACTTCTGCTATCATACAGCATCTGTCCCATAAATAGGATGCAGCACAAAGAAGTACAGTCCAGATTAGTTAAGCTTTAGGACAATTGCTTAATCACATTCTTCCTTCAGTGAAAGAATTGTGACAGGAATAAACAGATTCTTCCTTCTATAATAAACACTTATTACTGACAAATGCCTGTATTAGAACATGCATGTCTTAATACTAAAATCAGGTATCAGTAACTTGAAATATGAGCTATAATTCAAGAATACGAGACTATTTCTACCTGCACAGCTTAAAAATACAACAAAAAACCCAAAAAAAAACCACCACCAAGAAACCATGCCTTAGATACTACATAAAAACTAAATATCCCAAAGTGAGAATGGGCTCTATGAACAGAATAGGAATTCGTATAAGAGTTCCTTAAGACTACACAGGAAATACTTGAAAATAGGGAGGCAATTGCAAGACATAAATCAGTGCTAAGAGCTGTTTTTGCAGATGGATAAATCTCTTTCAGAGCTGGTTACTGCACAGACAATGCAGGGAGAGAATAAAAATCTTGTGGGCTAGAACAGATGATATTCTAAATCAGCTCTGAATAGGACGTTATCATCAGTACACAGTATTTGTCCATAGTTACTGATTTCAGTTCCAGGAATGACTGAACATTAACAAATAGCAATTGTTTTGTGCTCACTGCAATATTAAACAAAAATTGAGACATAGGACATAACATACATTCCAAAGAGCAAATTGACTAGAATTTAAGCCCTTTATTTCATAGACAGAAAACTCTATAAAACGGAGATGTCTGCAGAAGAAGTTAGAGCCAAAACTGAAGTAGGAAAAAGTCACTAATCTCTTCAGCTGCCAGTAATCTGACAAATGCACCAAAAGCTTTGAGAATATTTCCCAGCACTACAGTGCATCACTGACAGCTTTTAACAAAACTGCACTAGAGAAATCCCAAAATATAGCATGTGTGTTACAGCAGCATTCAAAGAAAAAAAAAGCAAGTTCAGGTAATATGAAATTCAGATAAAAAAGCAATGGAAAAGAAAGCAAAAGATTAAATTAATTACCTAAATATAGTTAGGGCTACTCAACACATTACTAGAAAACATCCTCGATGTGATTTTTTTTAAAAAAGATTAAACATTTGGCCAATAGAAGTAATTGCATACATATTATAGATTTTTAAAAGCTTTGGCTTATTACTCAATGGTAAAAAAAATTAGCACTAGCACATAATGAAGCTCGTAACAGAAACAAAAGTGTTTCACAGAATGCCCTTCAAAACTTATTAAAATATTCAATGTCATTCAATATTTTCATTTATAAATTAAAAGAAGAAAAATCATCATTGGTAACTTTTTGAATAAGCAAAGTAACAGTGAAAAGCCTGCACAATAAAGTGGACCTATATCAAGCTTCTTTTGAAATAGTCAAATCTGAAGTTACCTATCAGAAAGAGGGACCAGAATTAGTAGATCTGACTATTAAAAATAAAAAAACAAACCAAAACAAAATCAGATACTAGAAGATTTTAGGTTAGCTGAGAAAAACAGACAAAAATGAATGATTGCAATCTGATACCACATAAAGCCACATAAAATAAACTGGAATAAAGAGTACTCATCTGTGATGGTTCCAAAGGCAACTCACCCTCACTATCATCAAGACAGAAAGGTCTTTCCAAAACCACAATTCTGGGAAATTAGGGTTAAGATAATCTAAGAGTTCACTGCTCTCCCAAGAGACAGTCCTATTTCCTTCCCTTCCTCAACTCCCAATACTCAACATTTCCCTCATTGAATAAATTCAGCTCACCAAATAAGGAATAACAATAAAAAAAAGACAATAAAAAGTGGAAAGTTTTGTGCCAGTGTAGAGAAATTAACAATCTCAGAGAAGGGTCAGAACAAGTGAATTTCAGCAAAATTCAACTATGAAATCAGCTCTGTCATCTCACAGGACAGCACCAGAACTGCATGTTTTTCCCAAACCGAAGCTTTGGGCTACTTATAGAGCTAAATGTATAAATTAACAGCCCACGATAAAGACGTCAGACTAGCCCTTTTCAGCCTCCAATTTCATGAGCATGCTTCATTAAACATGAGCAGCAGCAAGGACGCAAGTGTTTCAGGAAAAGAATTTGTAAAAAAATGTAATGGGAAAAATTCTTCAAGAACAATGTTACAGTTGTACTCCCAAATAACAGGGGCCTTCCAACTCTCAGTTATTACCCTCCAGTATTTGAGAAAGGAAAGATATCTGGAAATTCAAAATTATTTAAATGACTGGGGGATGGGACTCAGTTAAGTAGCAACACAGTAAGAGTTGATGGTTGATCAAGATGTATGACTAACAACATAACCCCTTCACCCTTCCCCACAAAAAAAGTGATTTAGGTTGCAAAACAAAGCATAAAGGATTAAAAAAAAAAAAGTCTACTGTGTTCATTCAGCCTTTTTTCCATCTTCAAGAAACTGTCCCCTATACTGAATTAGGCCAGTAGTTAAAAAATTCAAGCAATTACATTAGGCAACAACATATCCATGTACAGCACTTGTAATTGCCCTGACAACCATAGAACTTAACACTCCCAAAGATAGCTTGGCAATCCAAAAAGAATTAATTTAAAAAAAAAAATTCCAACACATGTAAATAATACTCTATCAAATACAGTTGTAAAAAAAAATTCTGACATAATCAGCAAGATGAAACTCTGGTATCTCCAGCACAGCACTTGAATCCACTTTCCTCAAAATTTCACTATGGAATAATGTTGCATTAAAAGGGTTGATTAATTTCGCAGAAACTAAACTCCCTTGCGTTCCAGCTTGTCCTCAGATATCAGAGGGACTGGGGGCGGTTGAGATTATTTCTGAGTGATGTCCATTACACCAAAAATAGCCTCAAGTCGACACTAGAAGTCCAACTGTGCTCAACAGCCAGTACAGCATTATGTTGAATCCACATGATTATGAATTTACTAATAGTGCAAAATCGAGTCGTTAGATCATTGAATTTACAGGTCTACACAGATTCACGAACAGTACGATATATACTGTAAGTCTGGACGTATTCAATGAGAAATTCTCACAACTAGATTCATAGATAATGTGGTTTATTAAAGCAACAGATATAAGTTCTTTTAAATAGCCGGTGATTAATACACTGTCTGCAAAAATACACTTAGGTTACAAAAAACACACCTGGGTACCAAATATATAGAGAGAGAAAAAAAGGTGAGTATATAGTGCTACTAATGTGATTACAAATACAAGATTGATTTCCAAGTTTCCCGGGGAAGCACTGGGTATAACCAAGTGTGCGAGTCTTACCCAAAGGCGTCCCTATGGGTGGGGAAGATAGGTTCAGCCCGTTGACTGGAAGTCTGCAATGCTCCTTGACTTCTCAGTGATGGTGTCTCCCCCGCATCCCCATGTCATTAGGATATTTTATACTATTTTCTAAGTTTAGGTGGAGCTTGAATGATTCTAGTCATACATACTTTCATTATTGATTGGTGTAAAATTCTCTCGCTGCGCTTTTAAAGATATAGACAAAAAAGAATTCAAAGAGCACGCTCAAGGTAGAAGAGAGGTTGGTAGCTTTTGGGGTGAACGTGTGTTTTGGTATTATGATGAGCGTATAATGAGCAAAATTCATCCACAGGACACAATTTCTCCGCAACTGTTAGCTCAGCACCAGTATTTTGGATGGAAAGGGATATTTAGCTCTTATTTGACAGCAACTATAGGCACAGTACTTTCTAGTCTCTGTACCTGCCTCATACACAGAGCCTGGCTGCAGTATCTTCATACCGCTCCATCCTCCGTTCCTCTCTGTGCCAGTACACCAAGCTTCCTTGGCATGCTAACACCCAAGGTTGTAGGTCAGGTTGGGGGTGGGGAACCATTGCACAGCAGATTCCTTGTGTGCACAGCAGATGCCTTATGTGCTGAGAATGTGGATATAGCTTTACTCTCAATCAGTGTGCCTTCAATAATTAGTTTCGATAATTTGCCCCCCAGGTAAATATTCCACAAATAAACAATATAATTTTTGATCATCTATCTTCAATTATATGCAGCCAATAATAAACACATAAATGAAAATTTTTTTCTAAAACTGAATCCTTGTGTGTTTCAAAGTCTCAGCTTAGTGAAAATACACTGTAACCTTTCTCAAGTTGTATAAAAATAGCTTTGCCAAAGGGAGTTTACCATTGGCAATAAGCTGACAACTTCTGACACAATGGTTGTTTGACTTTTCCAAATTTTCTGAAGTAGTAAGAGTAGGATAGCTAAAAACAAATGTGATGAGCCAGCATCTAAGAGCCCACCTATTCATACTATGAAGTCAACAAAGGCAAAAAGTTCAGAAAATATTCTAATACAAAGCATTTTGCCTGTAATATTGATTTCAGTATTTCTGAATACCCAGAGCTGGAGCTGGGAAGCAGCATGGTACAGTGACCCATCCTGAACAAGTTATTTTCATTACACTCTTAAACCAAATCAGTTCTTTGAGGTAGTTCACCATCCAACCCACAAAGAGCTGTGCTGGCATGACAGAGAGCAGACACCACTCACCAGCATACAGCAGAACACCCTATATACTGAAGCTATTGTCCAAATTCCTTATTCACTCCTACCCACCTCCTAGAGCAATGAAAACTATCCACTTAACCTAGCAGAAAAGAACAGAAGAGGAAACTAATCCCTCTGGAATGACAATAAATGTAGAGTACCTGATTCATGTGCCAAGGGCCCAGCTCAGTGGAAAACTACTTAGAGTAAAATTTGTTTACTACAATCACTTCAATGATTATTAGAAAAGACAAAAATCTATTTGGAATGTTTTTCCCCTTTTTATAGTGAAAAACACTGGCAAAGTCTGAGCAAGTCTCTCCATTACCAAAAAGGAATAATAATTAAAAAAAAGAACACAAAAAAGTGGAAAGTTTTGTCCCAGAAAGACTAGACAAGTCTAGCCAGTAGCTTGATTCAAGTCTTTCCCAGCTACAGTGCCTCCACGTAGAACATGCTCTTACTGTCCCCCAAAATAACCAAGTTGACACATACTTCTAAATCTTTACAATAGTCATATTTTTCAATAGAAGCCCATATCTAAGCTTCATTACTCTCCTCAATGTAAAACTGAAGTAGGACTTTAAGGCTAAGAATTTAAACATCTAGTTTAAAAAAAAATAATTCAGTTGGGCAAATTCAAGTACTAGCAAAATCTGTTTAAACCACTGAGATCTACTAAATATTTAAAAGGAAAACTAGGACACTAATTGCAAAGTTAATTACACACCACAAATATTTTGTATTTCTCCAATTTTAAATGGTATCTCTTCATAGCACACTCTATATTCCTCAAGGCAAGTATGTGTTTGGCACAATCTAGCGTCGGCTGACACATGCATAACAATCAATATCTTCATTAGTATCTAAATGTGCGCTGCTCTAAATGTTAAGAATACAAAATGCCAGAATATGAAAATAGAGCAATGTAATTTAGCGTACAGAAACTGAACATGAAGACATTCTACCTACCTGTCCCAGTCATCATCTCCAGCTCTTCTTCTCCAAGATCTTTCTGCACCAGGCTTATCAAATTGATCAAAGTCATCATCTGTGAAGAAGGTGACTACATTAAATAATTCTTACTAAAATCAGAGGTTTCTAAAGAACCACTTAGATGGGAATTTGGGGGGGGGGAGTTTTTTTTATAAGATGCAAAAATAGCTTTTTCTACTTTCCATTTTAACATGAGGAAAACGGACAAATACCAACATGCTTCAATAATAAAAAACCATAATGTACTATATAGCTTTCCCTCTTCTCACTATTGAGGCGAGGATGACCTGAGGAAAACAGAGCACGAGATAAATCACTGGAAAATGTTGCCAACAGAGGTCATCCCAGAGACTGGAGCTTCCCAGAGATGCAGGAAACTGAGGCACAACGGATGTGAAGGTAACCATGTCTGCCAGATCTCCGATTGCCTTGGGGGCCACAAGCTCATCTGCCCACACTGAGCCTGCAAAGGCACTTTGAAAACAGGAGTAAACCTCAGGTCAGCACAAGGCAGGATGGTACCAGCAACCCAAAACAGAAGAGGGAAGTCAAGTCTAACACACCATCAATTATCTCAACTGGGGCATTAAAAACACTAGAAGTCATTGAAGCAGGTTACACCATGTACCTAAGCATGCACATGCCTTCCAAGATAAAACTAGTGCTCCATGTATTTCTCTCAACAAGTACCCTCACTTTAGCTTATCAAATCACAAATTACTCTTGCACAGCTTAGTTTGCAAATAACTTTGCTACTTAAAAATATTAAAACTTTCATTTATCTGCAAGAGAAATGCAAAGCTCATCTGCTCTGTTCAGACATCCAGATGTCTCATCATCTGTAAACTGAAAGCACATACCTTCAGAAACACTCAACCCTCATTCTGCCATCCTGTGGCTAGAGACCAACTAAGAATGTACACCTGGAATCAGTCTCTTTTCACACATTTTAATGACTTTTGTAAGAGTCAAAAAAGTAGGCAAATAAAAGTTGTGTTCAACACATGGGGAAACTGGCTGAAGTTTAATGGTCTGCAAAATACAGGAGGGTGAGCAATCCAGTCTGTCCAGTCTCAACTGGTGAACACTAAGATGCCATATATCCAGTCATTTTCCTGACTATTTGCACTCAACTCTGACTAAATACAATGCCAAGGATCAACTGGTTTTTGTGTTTGGTTGCTTTTAATGAATCTTCAAAACCAAATCTGTCTTCAGCTCTTTAAACTCAACCCAGTATCCTTTACTGAATACTCCCCATATGCAATGACAAACCTATTCACTTCTTTCTTCATACAATCAAAACACAGCTGTTAGTGACCGATAGAAAGAGGTAAAAACATTAAAAAGAGAAATTTCAGATCTTGCAATGTCATTAAGAGCTTTCAAATCAGAAATTTCCATCATAAATAGCTCTGAAAACAAGACTGCTCAGTATGAATTATGATGCAACACAAATAAAGTGTGGCAACTCTTTTCTTTTGGAACAGTAGGTAAAAACAATTCCCCTTGATCAGGTGCCCCCTTTTACTCCCTACACATTCTTTTATATTTTAATTAATCTTCTATATTTAAACTAATTTACAGGGGCCAACACCATTGAAACAAACAGTTGGTTTACATTTCTCTGCTCCAACACCTACATATTGCAACCTCCTTCAATTCCAATTCCTGTTTTACCCACAAGGGAAAGCCAGACAGATATCCTAGCATTTACTATCTTCTTGAACACTACATTATCCAATTTTGTGATCTCTGAAAAAAAATGCCACCTTGCTCTCCTTATGGTCATTCAAAACCATGCTGCAGTGATTATCTTGGAGCACTCCCATTTTAAGGGAACAAATATCCTGCACTGTCATTGTTCTTACAGCTGGATTGGAGTAATCCACTGACTTGATGTAACCACCTCCAAAGATATTTTTTTTTTTTTTTTTAAGGTAATGTGATTGGTTTTGTAGCAACCCAAATTACAAGTGTCCGCATATTGACTAATACAGCTGAAGACAATGACCACCATCAGGAAGACAGTAACTTCTTTTTAAGTTATGCCTGCTTGCTTGCAAGATATGGTATTTTTTCATGTCAGGCACCATTTTTAGAACTACAGAATGCTGTATTATAGACCAACACCACTTGAAGACAAGATCTTAGCTCTTCAGCACACAATTCCTACACAGATGGCCAGCAGGACTAGGGAAGTGATCATCCCTTTGTACTCTGCACTGGTGAGGCTCCACCTCGAATACTGTGTTCAGTTTTGGGCCCCTCACTACAAGACGGACATTGAGCTGCTGGAGCAAGACCAGAGAAGAGCAACAAAGCTGGTGAAGGGCCTGGAGAAAAAGTCTTATGAGGAGCAGCTGAGGGAGCTGGGGTTGTTTAGTCTGGAGAAAAGGAGGCTGAGGGGAGAACCTTATCACCCTCTACAACTACCCGAAAGGAGGTTGTAGCGAGGTGGGGGTTGGTCTCTTCTACCCGGTAACTAGCAATAGGACAAGAGGAAACTGTCTCAAGTCGCACCAGGGGAGGTTCAGGTTGGATATTAGGAAGAACTTCTTCACTGATAGAGTCGTTAGGCATTGGAATGGGCTGCCCAGGGAGGTGGCGGACTCGCCATCCCTGGAGGTGTTCAAAAAAACGTTTAGATGCGGCACTTCGAGACATGGTTTAGTGGGTTTAGCAGACATGGCGGCATTGGGTATACGGTTGGACTTGATGATCTTTGAGGTCTGTTCCAACCATGATGATTCTATGATTCACTTCCAGTTGCCTATGACGTGTGCTCGCATCCTACAGCTCTCTTCCCCGACAGAACGGAAGACTGGTGATCAGTAGTCAAAACACCATTTGCAACAAAGCATACGGTTGGATCTGATGATCTTAAAGGTCTTTTCCAACCAAAATGATTCTACGATTCACATTGGTCAGGCTTAAATCTAGACAAGAAAAGTACATGCCAAACTGTTTTTCTCTGCTGAGATCTCTCTACAGCAAAAAGAAACACTCTTCAGTATAATTCATAGTACTTTTCCAGGTCAGATAGTTAGGTTTCACAGCTATAGAAGTATTTCACCCTAGTATTACTGCTAGTGGAGAAACAACACCAAAAGAGGTTCCAGGTTCCTGGCAAGTTTCTAGTGTAGACCCCGACCCCAACTCAGTCAACATCATGAACCTCCACCCTTCAGCTCTTCCAACCCCTGCAAATTTCTCACATCCTATTCCTTATTTATGAGCAACTCCTACCAAAATCCAAAGCTGAATTACATCCACTCAAAGCCCTGTTTACAAGTCCCCTCCTAGCAGGATGCATACAAAAGTCTCAAAAATGACTGGTCAATCTGTGTGTGGTTACCACAGCTTATAAGAACTGTTCCACATATGTTCCCACCACCTCCCTGTTCTCACCCCTTTTCTCCTTGTCTCATCACACACTTATGGTATAAAGATCTTTGGGATAGAGGGATTCAGCTTTTCTTTTTTATGCTTATTTGTTCTGTGACAGCTGACACTGACAATGAGCATTACGTATTACGCCATTTTGACGCTAAGTGTTGTCAGAGCCCAAAGCAGGTTGTAGCTGTCCTTTAGAAAAGGAGGTCACAACAGTCAACGCATCTACAAATAGCATTCACCACCAGCTTCATAGCATGGACACAGGCCTTACACCTGCAGTGCAATGTGATACAAAGCAAACCTCAGTGAAGCATCATTTGTTTTCCATTTCAGAAACTACACGTATTATCATTTTTCTTCTACCTGTCTAGGCAGTAACATTGGAAAATACCACTAAACAACAATCAGCATAACATTTATGGATGTTTCTCCTTGAGAAATTCATATAAGTCATTGTTTGTGTCAAGCATGGCTAAGTGCCTGTAAAACATTAACTTGTACAGAAAGGGGAACGCTCAGCATCAGCAGAGCACAGTATCACTGAGCGCAACAGCCAAAGATTTTTATTTTTTTTTAATAATTCTCAGTACTACTGTGTGGGAGCTGAGGAGAGGAGATAAAAAGGGGGGGATCCATAAACATAAGCTTTTTAAGCAGGAAAATGTCCATTGTAGGAGTTGGAAGAGGATTTGTATTTCTTCCAGCGGCATCAGCGCAGCCTAGCAAGGCAGTCATACCTAGCAACTGTTGCTAAGACATGCAATGCAATGGCTACAACCCCTCCTTTCAGTTCAAGGCTTTCGTGGCAAAGCTCACCAAGATGCGTGCATATTCGCTATGAATCAGGTGGAAGATCCTGTCCTGTCAGGTGATCACTAAACACACTAAGCCCCCTCTCTACCTACCAGGCAGTACTAGAAGGAAGAAGAGGAAAAAACAAACAAAAAAAAGTATCAAATACCAAAAGAGCACTAACTGAATAAGCAAGCATGACAGGCCGGTTATAGAGGAAAACAAAAGAAATAATCCACCACTTGGCTCTTCCTACTGCAGTTCCAAGAAAATCACCATTATCAAAGCAACAGAGAAGTTGCAGGATGCTGCAGAGACTGACTGACACTAGCTGTTTTGTCACAGACCAGCCTGTCTCACAAGGCTCTGGCCAGCTGTGAACCACAATAAACACAAAGACAGCCAAACACGCTTGGTTCCCCACACTGAAAAGAAGGTTCCTATTCACTTTATACTTACCCTGGTGTAGCACCAGTAGTGCTGTAAGTTGTTCTCTACAGCTTATATTTTGGTTTTATGATGTATGCCCAGAACTGTTATCTTTTTTCCTGCTTAATAAGAACAGATCATCCACACAAAAAATCTACAAAATACAAGCCTCATTTCCTCTTTGGCTATGCTGGTGGTAGTTTCTAACTCTGTGAACACCCTTTCAATAAAACCTTCGCTAATCATTTTTCTATGTAAAATGGAAGCCCTAAGCTACACAGTCACGTCTCACAAGCGTAGGAGGTGAATCAGCAGAAAGCAGAGCTCTTAATGTCTTAAAATGGTACCAACATAGCCTAAAAAGGTAGTCCTACATAGCAACTGTTGCCAAGATGGAGTATTTTACTGCAATGAGACGGCCAAGTCTTCTAGACTAGGAAATACGCTTGA